AGACCTAAGAGCCATCAATAAAGTAACTTAACCAATAGGCTCTCTACAGCCTGGAATGCCCTTGCCTTCTCTAATACCTAAAGAATGGTCTATTATAGTTATTGATCTAAAAAACTGTTTTTTCACTATACCTTTACAAGAAAAAGATAGGGAAAAATTTGTCTTCACAAAAGTGTGCTGGAGGCCTCAGAATTTCATAAAAACACCATGTGAATAGCAAAGATTTAAAGAAGGTTTTTTCCATCACTTAGCAACAAGCTAAGAAAATAGTTTTTAAAAAATGTTCTACTTGTCCTTCTATAATCAAACTCCTTTACCAGGATGTAGTAACCCTAAAGGTATACATAGAAATGAAATTTGGCAAATGGATGTGTTTCACTTTGCAGAATTTTGAAAATTAAAATATGTGCACCATATAATAGACACATTTTCAGGATTTCAATGGGCAACTGCTCTGAGTTCTGAAAAGGTTGATTCTGTTATTACATACCTATTAGAGGTAATGGCTATTATGGGTATACCTGCACAAATAAAAACTGATAATGCTCCCGCATATGTATCCAGTAAATTGAAACAGTTTTTAAAAATATTATAACATAAAACATATTACTACTAAACCACACAATCCTAAGGACAAACAGTTGTTGAGAGATCTAATTGTACTTTAAAGAAATGCTCTATAAATAGGCAGAGGGAACCAAGACCCCCCCCCAAAAAAAAAACAGATTGCATAATGCTTTACTAATCTTACTGCTAATGAGAAAGGAAAAACAACTACAGAAAGACATTGGACAATACAAAAAAAACTTCTGAGTTAAATCAACCAGTGTACTTCAAGGATGCATTGACCTCAGTATGCTACATTGGGAAGGAGTTTTCGCCTTTTTTTTTTTTTTTTCGTTTTTTGAGACAGGGTTTCTCTGTGTAGCTTTGGAGCCTATCCTGGCACTTGCTCTAGAGACCAGGCTGGCCTCGAACTCACAGCGATACACCTGCCTTTGCCTCCCGAGTGCTGGGGATTAAAGGCCTGCACCACCAACGCCTGGCGTCGCCTTTTTCTCTACTGGAGAAGAAAAGCTGTGGATACCATCAAAGTTGATCAAGATATGATTTGAACAGGAGAAACCTCTTGATGAGGAGAAAGGATAGGTCATCCACCAAAGTAAATCCCAGAAGTTCTACGGAGACGTCACAAAGGTCGGGGGAGTGTTCTTTCTTTATAGGAAAACAGAAAACACCCATCTTCAAGAAGCCAAAAGACATTGGAGGTGTAGATGCCGAAAGAAGAATGGATAGCTACCCAGAAAGAATCATCAAACAAAGAAGGGTCTGACTCATGGTATCAATATCTATTCATAGTAAAATCTCTCTACCTAAATTATATCTCCTTACTTCCCAGTACAGTCGTAGTCCCAATTCACATAAAAGTCAATGCTGACTTTTGAGTTGGATTTGGCTTTCCTTCTCTAAATTCAAGCATGTTGTTAAAATAAAATTCAGTGTTTCTGTCTCATATCAAAAAGCCAATTGGTATAAGACAGAAGAAAAAAATCTAGAGACTATTATTTGTCAAAACTCTGTTATTCCCCAAAACTTCTCAGGATGCATACCTATAAAAGTTAAACTTTCTGTGTTGATATTAATGTTTAAGTCTTCCACAGTGAACAATAAAATTTCCTAACAGCAAAAATTGAAGTCTCCAGAAAGAAGATGGAACCCACTTCTTGGATTCCCCTTGATTCAACTTGATGTCTTTGAACTAGTAAATTCCATTCTAGGACCATTGGGACTAATACTGCTCTATATGATTCTAGATGAGCTAGCTGAGATGGTGCACCTTCTTATAACACTCTGGCCAGAACTTCAGATAAGTGCTTCAGTCACACATCACCTGCCACTTAGAGATGAGCTACAAATGTTACAGCTAGTCCTCTTGAGACTTTACTGTTGCTTTCATTTTTTTTTCCTACAGGATCCCATAGAATCACCATCACCCCACTACAGCAAGAAGTAGTTCTAAGAAAACAATGCCCCCTTTCCCTACTGTTGGCTTTAAGGGTATTTTGGTTTTGTTTTTCTCTTGTTGATAAAAAAAAAGGATAATTATCACCTGCTTTAGGTTAGTTTTAAGTTGTGTAGGGTTGGGTATAGAAGGTGATGGTCAGACATGGATATCTCTTTTAGAAAAGTTTAAGAGTATGGGTGGGCAATGACAGTTTATGCTGGACAGGATGTGGAGAAAGGGGAACACTTCTCCACTGCTGGTAGGAGTGCCAACTTGTACAGCCACTCTGGAAATCAGTATGGTGCCTCCTCAAGAAAATGGGAATCAGTCTACCCCAAGATCTAGCCATTCCACTCCTAGGCATATACCCAAAAGAAGCACATTCATACAACAAGGACATCTGTTCAACGATGTTCATAGCAGCACTATTTGTAATATCCAGAAACTGGAAGCAGACTAGATGCCCCTCTACCAAAGAATGGATAAAGAAAATTTGATACATGTACACAATGGAGTACTACTCAGCAGAAAAAAACAATGGAATCTTGAAATTTGCAGGAAAATGGATGGAACTAGAAGAAACCATTCTGAGCGAGGTAACCCAATCACAAAAAGACAACCATGATATGTACTCACTCATATGTGGATTTTAAACATAGAGTAAATGATTACTAGTCTACAATCCACACTACAAGAGAAACTAGTAAACAAGGAGGACCCTAAAGAGACAAACATTGTGCCCTGGAGAAGGGGAAAGGGTCATGATCCCCTGAGCAAATTGAGAGCATGGGAAGAGGGGGGAGGGAGCTAGGAGAATGAGAAGGGAAGAAGAGGAAGGATGCAGAGGTCATGAGGGAGCAGAAAGGTTGAGTCAGGTGAAGAATAGAAGAAAGGGTATGTGATAGATAGGGTTTTAGTTGGGGAGGGTGGTAGGGGATGACAGGAGGGAGAAGGGAACTAGAATTGTCATGTAAATCAATCTTGTTTCTAATTCAAATAAAAAATGATAAAAAAAAGATAAACGTATTTCAGAAAAAAAGAGTATGGGTGGGAAGGTTATGGTTAGGATGGAATATAGGTAGATTAACACATCTTCTTGTGAACTAATTTTAGTAACTATTAGCTATAGATAACTTATTAGATTCTTGTATGTTAACTGTGTAGGATCCTCTTTCTGTTTCTGATGTTTTCCACACAAATATATATATATATATATCTATATATATAGATATATATATAGATATATATATATATATATATATAGAGAGAGAGAGAGAGAGAGAGAGAAAGTGAGTATATTGACACAATTTAGGATATTTTATCATGAAGCACTATACAGTTCTACCTCTGGTCTAGACATTTCAGTTTCTACCTCTGTTGTTGAAATATATATATTTGAAGTAATTGCCCCTGCTAAATTATTTTGGGAAGCTTTAGTCATTGAATAATTATGTTTCTAAGAACTATAGAGTATAGTTACCCATGCTTCTTATACCAAAGAGGTTAGTCAGACATAGGTATTTGATCTTCAAATACTTCAAAGATCTACAGAATACGGCATTTACGAGACACAATTGCTCCGACAGCACCAAGTCCCAAGAGTATGATGGGCACTGATGACACTCCTTCTGGAGTTCGTACCCTCCTCAGCCACTGGCCTCTTGAGCAAAGAACTGCCCCGACCTTGACCGCTGACTTTGGACATACTGTCCTAATGGGCTAGCAGGAGATAAACTTAAAGAGACTGCTGAACCCTGCCAAGTCAGGGTAGGACAGTCTTTCAATTTCCCTGCTTCTGTGTTGGTCTGTCAGATACTCTAGGCCTTAGACAAAGTTGGTTGCCCCAGTGCTGCTGTGACACCTTGGATGACTGTTCAGGTAGCCTGCTGTTTCTGTCTTCGCTTGCACCTTTTGGAAATTGCTCACTTGCACTTCCTGCCTACCCCAATAATGTTATCTTCCTTCTCAGGTCCTTGATAAGGTTGAAGATTTAACTGTCACAGTTATTGTCCTCTTTTCTTAGATAGAAATATTAGGTACAGACTTAGACTTTCTAGTTTAGGACAGCTTTGCAGTAATCTCTGTTATGCCTTTACCCTGGGACTGGACATGTAGTTCACGCCAATTGATCTATGTTGCTTCACTGGCAGTAGGTCTTTATTTTTTTAAAGATTTTATTTATTTATTATGTATACAACATTCTGCTTCCATGTATATCTGCACACCAGAAGAGAGCACCAGATCTCATAATAGATGGCTGATGCCTGTGAGCCATCATGTGGTTGTTGGGAATTGAACTCAGGACCTCTGGGAGAGCAGCCAGTGCTCTTAACCTCTGGGCTATCTCTCCAGCCCCAGCAGTAGATCTTAAATTGTGTATGTTTTTACCTTTCCTTCTCCTAGAGCATACTTAACATTTGTTATCATTGTATATAGTTTTTGTATAAAGCCTAGACCTTCTTCTTTAGATCAAAAGGGGAATTGTAGTGACATCTTGCCCGTGAACCTGTAACAGTGGCCACACCCTTTGGACATGGTTACCAGTGCAGATGTGACCCATTTTAAGGAGCTGGGGTTGGAGACCCCTTGGGTTGAGGAGAGCATAGGGAGGCAAGGACTGCATCTTAGGAGTATAAATGCCTTGACAGTTACTTGTTGTTACCTGTGTAAGTTCTTTCCCAATAAACACCTAATTATCATTCATCTTTTGTCTGTGAACTCATTATAGCACCTTGTCTTCAGTGAAAACATTTAAAGCCCACTCTCTGAGTACTTAGTGAGCAGTATGGCTGTGGCTTCATGGACAGAAGTCACAGAAATGGGAGAGTTGACCAGCAAGACTTAGCCTAGACTAAGTTAATTGGCAAGATTTAGAATAGTGATGTTCAACACGTAGGGGTCATGCAGCACTAGGAGGGTTGAGAACCACACTGTCTTAGAACATGGGAAACATGGCACAAATATGACCCCAGGACTTTTCTTTGGTTAATTTCAGCTCCCTCCCAGGCTCTTGATGTATGGAGACAAGTTCGGTCAGAGAATGGAAGTTATGTTGTGACCTTATTCTGGAAGGTAAGGCGTGAGGCTTCAGGTCTGACTTGCTGCCTCTGCATAGCAGTGTACTCCCCAGCCATGAGAAACCATGGTGTCAGTCTCACAGGGCTGGCCATCAGGAAGAAGGAGCCACTCCAAACCCCTGTCCTCAGGCTACAATTTCCCTGAGCCCATCTGACAGCTGATTCTGATGGCTAGAACCTTTTCTGTATGTGCAACTCAGGCCCTCCATAACTTTTGCAAGGTTTAAGACCAGTAGCTATGTCTAGAGTCACATACCCTACTCCTAACTATCTGTAAATACAAAAGTTTCAAATCAAGCTATTAAATTATAATGGAAGACTGACATTATCCTTTGGCCTGGCCCAATACACTGCATGACAACCTGGAAGGCTGGCTTTAATGTCTCATATCAAAACATGGTGATAGGAGGTGTTTGGCACCTGGCCACAGACCCTCTTGCTTTTCTTTTCCCCCCAAGTTTGGCACAGTGTTCTGGCCTCTGCATATATATGTGTGGCTCTGCTAAGTCTATGTCTGAGTTCTGTCCACACCCTGAGGGAAAAGCTGCTGCTTGATCTGAGATCTAGGGGTACGCAGAGCAGGGTACAGTCTGTCCCAGGGAAAGCAGATCTTAAGAGTCACTGACATAGGTGTGTGTATGTATGTGAGTGGATATGTTCTTAGGTTTATGTGGATTGGGCAGCTAAGGGATGGAAAATTAAAAAGTAATTAGAGAGTAATTTTACAGTAGAGCTCATTTTGAAAGGATCACCTTTTTTTTTCTTTTTCAGCCACTATTAAAATCACAGGCCAATGGTAAAATTGTATCCTATAATATAGTTGTAGAAAACCAAGACCGACTCTCTGAGTCAGAACATTACTCTGTACCGGCACCAGCCCTTGGCACACAGCTGAGCCTTGACCCGTGTTCTTACAAGATTCACATCACAGCCAACAACAGCGTGGGTGTGTCGCCTGAGTCAGTGATGGTCCTCTCTAATGATTCCGGACATGGTGAGTCGGCATGGGTCAATTTGGCTTCCATTCTTGAGCAAAATATTGGTGATACTTTCAAGTCGTGACAGACAAATAACACCATAACTTGAGGCACCCCTGTGCTATTAGATACTTCCTTTGGAGCTGGCATAGCCACAGGTTGCAATGTGTCGGTGCCTTCACAGTGACCCCATGCACTCTATCCTTGGATGTTTCAGCACATTAAAGAGATGATATAAAATTCATTTGGGTATATGCAATCCCATAGCAAATCCTCTCTGAGAGTCAAGACAGTGCCCTAGAGATTTGTGGATTGTGGGATATGGACCATGTGCTGGAACCACTATTTGTCCACTGTTGTCACGTATAAAGACTTTATGGAACAGCCATATGGAGCATGCTTGTATTCACAACACTCAGGAGATTGAGGCAGGAGGACCATGAGTTTGAGGTCAACCTGTGCTACATAGTGAGACTGTGTGGAGGGAGGAGAGTGGTGGGGCAAAGGAGACCATGGACATCATAAGGGTAGCTGATGTACTCTTCCAGGAGACAATGTAATTTGGCCAAGTTTGTAGAATAACAGCAGATGATAATCTGCCAATCTCTCAACCAAGTAGAGAGTGAACAAAGTGGAAGCGATCTGACACCTAAAACCAAGACTGGAATTAATGTACCTCTTGACTGGGCCACCGAAAAATCCTGGCACAGTAAATCCCCAGTCACCTGCAATGAAATGGTATACATGTGAACAAAAGGCAAATGGAGTTGACATGCTGAGGTCACGTACCTTGCAACAATGCTATCCTTCAGTTCTTGCTGTTAAATGTAACAGGCTTGTGAGGCTATGAAAGATTGTGTGGTTCCATTCCAGTTCAATTTAAGCTAAGTGAACCATATTAGAAAGCATTTTATTTTTAAAAAAGAACTGTCCTTTGTGAAACCAGTTCTATTGCTCTGGACCAGGGCCACACTTTGACCTTGAGGGCAAAGAATTTTACCCATTCCCACAGAATCACACCAAAGACTGTAGTTTAGATTCTTTGGGCATCCTGTGACATTGGGCAGTTCTAATTACTAGTTAATATCAGCATGAAACTAAGATGCTGTTCATCCATCTGGGTCATGACATTATTACACAGCAGGAGCACACAGCAGGGTGTAAAGCTCTAGGCATAAGGTCTTTAAGATAGTTTCTTCAGGATGCTGGTTCCCGGTTCAAGTTTGCTCACACAGCCTCCTCACCCTCCTCTATCAAAGAAACAAGTCTGTCTCACACCAAAAGTGACATTTCCTCTTCATTTTTTCATAGATGTGAGAAATGTGTTTTCTAAGAAGAGCATTGGAAACTCAGGATGGTGGGAACAAGGCAGTTTATTTTATGACTTTACAAAACTGGGTGTGAACCCAGAATGGCCATTGTTGGAGTGTGGAAAAGTTTTTGTAACCCTAACATAAGTGTCCTCTTGGGCTGAACAATCGGGAGAATGGACTCCTATATGTCAGTGGGTCTTACGTTTCTCTCTGCCATTTACCATTGTCATTTTCCAAACAAAACCTGTGCTGGACTAATCTAAATGTTTTACATGCTGTTTATTTAAAATGTATCAGGCAGATGGCCTTTCAGGAAAGCTTGGCTCTTAGTAATCTGCTACTTTATGCTTTTCATTTGGTCGGTGGCAGGAAGAGGTGTCTTTAGCAAGCTGTCAGCAAGGTTCCAATGTTTCCTGCTCATTGTAGATGAGCCTACGCTTGCTGGAGGCATTTTTTGAAAGTGAATCATACAGATACATTACAAATGAACCATTTAAGTAGACATTCCAAACTTAGGGTCCCAATGCTTATCCAGCTGTGTCGTTGAAGCTGCAAATATGATTTAAAGAATGGAGATAGTGAGGAATACCTGCACTCATCCTATATAGTCATTAGAGGCTCTCACCTGTGAGATAGCTAGTCAACTTCCCATTGTTTGGATGAAGTACCTGTGAGAAACAACTTTTAAGAAGATAAAGTCTGTTTAATCCATGGTTGAAGAGACTGGTATCATGGTTGATTGGTACATTGGAGGTTGTGGGGAGGATGGATATCATGGTAGGTAGCTTCTGGTGGAGCAAAAGCTGCTCACCTCAAGGCTTTCGGGAAGCAGAGAGAGGGCAGAACCAGAGTCCCAATATCTTCTTTTATAGCATGTCCAGTATTCTAACTTCCATCTTCCAGTGTCAACATCTCTCTGCTTCCAAGAAAGTTCCATAATCTGGGGATCAAAATTTTAGGTATGGGAGCCTTTAAGAGACATTTTAAAGCAAAATTATAAACAAACATTGCACGTGTTGATTTATGCCCTTCCTTGGAAATTGCAAGAGAAATACAATGAACTGAATCAGGAGTATTATTCTATTTGTTTCTGTACAGAAGAGGTCCATGAAAAAAGAATTAAAGGTACAAAGGATGGATTCCATATTTCTTGGGAGCCCACATCTGGAGATGCTTTAGGCTATGTTGTGGACTGGTGTGTACATTCCCGGGACCAACACTGTGATTTGCAATGGAAGAACCTAGGTCCCAATACCACAAGTACCAACATCACCTCAGGTGAGAACTCTCAGCCCTCCTCCTTGCATATCCTCCTTGCAGCAAGTTCAACTTAGACTTCTGTTCTAATGTAAAGATACTCTATGCTAGGCTAACCATGTTGAAATGACAAATTCAATGTGGTTGCTTGGAGGCCAGATTTCATGAGAATAGATTCAGACCTCTGGGCTTAAAATCTACTACAGCAGAATATGTAAATGTAGACCCAAGTACCTATTTTAATAATTTTCCCCTCTTAAGTAGAGGGACACAGGAACCATGTACAGAAAGCTTTTACAGATGAAAAGAACAGCACATACTTGGGACATATTTAGGGCGTAGAGCTGATGGGGCAAAAAAATCAGCTTTCAGTTTCAATAAACTTGTAGGCATGAACTCTCACCTCTTTTATTGAATCTACAACTTGAAGATCCCTGCTCTTTTAGGGAAGTCAACGGAGCTCCAGTGAGTGGCTTAAGCAGGAGGAACAGGTGTGTACCATCTACCAGGCTGAAGGACTGATATGGGAATTGGCTAGATCCAGAAAGTGATGTAGATTCAGGGCCCAAGAGCTTTGCAGGCTGACTATAGGGCTGCAGGTGAAAGAGGAAGAAAGAAAGAAAGAAAGAAAGAAAGAAAGAAAGAAAGAAAGAAAGAAAGAAAGAAAGGAGGGAAGGAAGGAAGGAAAGAAGGAAGGAAGGAAGGAAGGAAGGAAGGAAGGAAGGAAGGAAGGAAGGGGAAGCCAGGCTTTCAAGATCCCGATTGTTAATGGAAGGACAGAAGGCAAATACTGTAAGGACATTTGATGTCAAAAACAGTGTTGGAGCAGTTGGTGAGTCCGGCCTGGTTCTGCACCAGTTCTATGCACATAGACAAGGGCAGGCTGAGGGTCCTGGTTCCAGAGTAGATGGCAGTCTCTATAGAACTTTCCAGATAGCACCATGGTCATCACAACATAGCAGATTCTGAGGTCTGTCAGAAGGAGGGAAGCAGTAGAGGAGTAAAAACAGAAAGATTTTTGAGAAATAAACTACTAGGGAAGGGCTCACTCATTGGTTGTCCATTCTTTCACCTCAGATGATGTCATTGTGTCTTGTTAAAAATCCTTGACTTCTCTTCTCTAGGTGCTTTTAAACCAGGGGTTCGGTACAACTTCAGAATTTTTGAAAAATCTATGCAACAGAAAGCTCAGTTACTAGAGAAACAAACGGGATACACCCAGGAACTGGGTAGGTAGATGGTGTTGGCTTGCCTCAAAGAGACTTGTTCTGGGCCATCCATATGCTCACAATCTTCCTAAAGGGAGATTCCCCTCCCAAGCTTAGTTCTATGGTCCCATTTATTTTAGAAATTACATTAAAATTTCAAAACTATATAAATGAAGCATCTTCATTAAAGGTGATTTATAAAATGTTACATGAAAGACGATGTAATCATTGCTAATTTTAACACCCAAAGATCAATATCCAGTTAGTGTTTTATTATACACTAATACCCATTTCTCTATGTGGATACACACTTTTAAATAAAAATAGGATATCGCTCTACAAAGTTTGTTAACTGCTTTCTTGATTAATGCCACAAAATACTAAATGACTACAGTGCAACTTCTGTGATTGGAAAGTACCTCCCTCTGCGGACACCAGAGGTCACCTATCATCGGATAATTACAGTGACTTGCACTGAGAAATTATATTCTATCTCCAAGCAGCTTGTAGCTTCAAGTCATAAACCTCTCTTTTTGTGTCCATGCTCTTGTGCCCAGTCTGAATTACTTTCATTTTAGCTAAGTATTTGTCTTTATCCATACATGTGCGTGCGTGCGTGTGTGTGTGTGTGTGTGTGTGTGTGTGTGTGTGTGTGTGTGTGTGTGTATGCGTGCTCGAGTGTGCGCGGGCCAGGATTCACCCTGTACATTGCCAGAGTGTCTGGTAACATGCACTGTCTTGTTCCAGGCATGGGATTCTTCAAATCCCCTCTCACATCTTTGAACACATCTTGCCTCTCCTGTCCCTTCCTCTTCATGGCTGTAGAGTTTCAGGTTCAGAAAATACTGTTGAGACTTCAAGGCCAGAATCAAGACTAAGACAGACCTTTTGTTTTTACTCCCTGCCTCACCCCCACCCCTGCTGCCGTGACTTTTCCATAAGTTATTTCAGTTATTTAATCTCTCAGGATGTTTATGTCTTCATCTACAGAAGCTTTGAAGGAGGCAACTGCACATCCCCTCCCAGGTCTCCCGTGTCTGGGTACACATCATCTCCTCCCCTCCCAGCTCTCCTGTGTCTGGGTATACATTATCAGGGAGAAAGACAAGAAAGACTCCTTAACTTGACATAAGCTCTTAGTGTCCAGAGTTTCCTGTGGTCTGATTAGTTTGCATGCATGATTTGAGACCATTCCCAAATCATAACTTGTTCTTATCCCATCTTCCTTTCCTAGCTCCTCTGGAGAACCCGGAAGTGACCATTAATAACTTTACTTCCAACTCCTTCATTCTGAGCTGGCCCAGTTATGACAGCGACTTCCAGTCTGCTTTTATAGAAGGGTACCACGTGTACTTGAAATCCAAGGAGATGCAGTGCCACCCAAAAGGGAAAAGGATGACTCTTCCAGGTGATGCTTGCTCTTGTTACCTAAGCTCTTCGCACCATTCAGAAAGCAATGAAATTGATGCTGAGTCTTCCCCAGAGCTAGGAAAAAGCACAGAAATGGTGCCTTATGTGACTGGGCCAAGCTAGGGACCAGGCTAGGGACCAGGCTGATGCTATTTCCATGTTATTTTAGAATCAATAAGCAAACAAAAGGGGTGTGAGTACAGGAAGTGGAATTTTGATTCACTTCAAAAATAATGCAGGACTGGCCATCAGCCCCTTAAGAAATTCTTCCACTTGGAAAACTTGCTTGCTTTTCCCAGCCCCTACTTAAAAAAACAAAACAAAAAAAGAAAACTTTGGAAAATGCTATTTTTATTTTTATTCCCTTATCTGTGGTGCTGAGGACCAAAGCCAGGGCCTTCCGTGTATTCTGAGGAAGAAGTCTGTCTTTAAGCCACATCTCTGGCGTTGGTTTATTTTCTTCCCTGGTTTGTGATTATTGTATTCGGCAGAGTTGTGGACCTGTAGGATTACCATTCCCTGGTTAGTGGATATTTTCTTTATTGTGGCAATCTTTGAAATCAGTGAAATTATAATTTGGTTTGAGGTTGGTTTAAAATGCTGATGGTCCTGAGATACCTGGGTCTTTCCATGCCCTGCCCTCCCCCAAGGTCTCTGCCATGAGTCACTCTCTTTTTCTTATTAAGTCAGAGTTCCATGTACCCGGGGCTGGCTTGAACTCACTATGTAACTGAAGATGGCCTTGAACTTCTGTTCTTCCTGCTGGGATCAAAGGCATGTACCATCATGCTTTTGTGTGTGGTGGTGGGAACTAAAGCCAGGGCCCATGTATGCTAGGTAAACACTCCACACACAGGCCCTCTCCCACACTGTTAATATGGTTATCCTGATAACATTGATTTTCAATCACAGATTATTGGGTGCTCTGTGAATATGAAATCAAAGACCCCGAGCAAAAGGCATTCACTGTGGAAAACCTTCGACCAGAATCCCACTATGAGTTTCTCGTCACTCCGTACACCAGTGCTGGCCAAGGCCCCAATGAAACATTCACAAAGGTCATGACTCCGGATGAGAACTGTGAGTTTCTCCAAATCAAATCTTGCCCTCAAGATCAAGTGCCTACATTTGTTCTAGATCTGTACGTTTCAATAATTTCTTCTCCCCATCTCGTCCTCTCTCTTCCATACATAAGTGTTTACCCAGAATCCTGTTCCAAATCCCAGGTAAAAGTAGCAGTAACCTGACCAATTACGATGTAGAACCTTTTTTCATCTTTATCACTGACCCTGGATGCCTGTCTCTGGGCGTCAGTCTCAGGGTGACTTGAAAATGGAAGCATATTTCAGAGTTGACATCAGAAGGGCTGGCAGCTTCTCTCTCCAGCATGGGTAGTCATGGGCTGCCTTCCTATTCAGCCTTCCTTCTACCCGTTTTTCTTGGCTGACTGGTGGCTTTCTGCTCTGCTAGGGTCTGGGGAGGATAGTCAGAGCCTGGCAATGTAAGGTAGATTGGGCAGGTACATTACCAGCTTTGTGATTGTGGATCCTGTTGGGGAGGGGTTCAGGTGAAGAGATATGTCTTTTTAAAATGCATTTGACTTGAGAGATAGAGGAAGAAAAGACATAGTAGGAACTGTATTTCCATCACCAACTCTGACAGCCACTGTCAGAAAGGTGGGGAGAGAATGCAATCCGATGGAGGGTGCTGGGGAGAATGTCTTGGGATGGTTCTCCTCAGAGAACCATCTTGACTGTCTCTTAACTTTCTTCCCGAATGCCTTTCTTTCTTTTAATCCCAATGCTTAAAGTCTTAATAAATTTACCCAAAAGGCTTCAATTCTGCTTCAACTGGTTCATCCTGAGATTCTTTCCTGATGTGAAATCAAGATCCAGTCTTGAGCGGTCCTAAAAGATGAAGGGAAGTCTTGCTGGAGGCACTTCTAGCCACTCTCTTGCTGCACTAGGATTTGGAGCATTGTATGAGTGTGTGCACTGGTGGGTGGGGGGTGGGGATTCCATTAAAGAATTCACAGAAGGGCTGGGCTGAAGAAACCATGAAGACAATGGTCTTTGAGAAAAAAAAAAAAAAAGGCTCAGCTGGAAATTCCCAGCTTCCTCCATGCAGCATCCATTCACTGAAATCTGAGCTGCTAGGATGGGACAGGGCAGTCACACTAGTTAGGATGGTAGACCTGCAGTGTTCTAACTGGCGTCACAGACACATACAGCTGCAGCTGCAGGTGCTAGTGGTAACTGCCTGAGGGACTAAACCATGATCTGATGTCTCTAAGTCTATGTCAGAATTCAAATCAGATTAAGATTTGAGCCAATGGTTTACAGTATTTGAGCACTGCTGCCACTTTGAAGTAATTTTGTTGGATGGGGAGATGATTTTTTGAGATTGGGGTGTCATGTAGTACAGGCTACATAACTAAGGATGAACTTGAACTCATGATCCTCCTGCCTCCACTTACCGAATGCTGGAATGCCATGACCAAGTCTTAGCATGAGTTTTAAATTTATTTCTATATTATTTTCCCTCCACCTTCTGAATTTATTTGATTTGTGCACAAAATGATAACTTTATATTTTTAAGATTTCATTAATCTTTGTGGTAAACCTTATGACCTTAGCCTTATTAATTGTATTGACTGTTATTAATAAGAACATATTTCAATTATTCACAACTTCCCTGACACTCTGTATTTATTAAAACAGAATGTTATGTGAGTTTGCTAACCACACCTCAGCCCTTGTTACTTGGGAATGGGAAAAATTTACATTTACTAGAAGGAGACTTGTTTGATAAAAAAAAACCATAAAAATGAACAAAAATACCAAAAAAAAAAATACAATGTGGAAATTCCAAGTTGTGCAGAATTTTTCGCTCATTTTGTGGTACCATTTAACAACAGGTCCCTCTCTTTGTGAACTGGTACTTTGTCTTTGAATGGTGACTAGAGTACTAAATAAAGATAATGAGGCACAGAGGCCAGGAAGTCTATTTAGAGACTTCCCTGGTGCCCATCTCCACTATCATGTCTGCCTCTGCTTCTGAACATTTGGAACTATGTTTCCCCTGGATTTAACAAGCACACTGGCTTCAGCTGTTTCCCCACCAAATGATGTTCAACTTAAGATGCCTTTGGATTGATGAGGTGTAAAAGCAGGACAAGCTCAGAAGAAGATGCTCCTTCCATTTTGATCTTTTTCCAGGCTGGTGAAAGGCTGGATGGTGGCACAAGCCACAGCTCCAACCCCCAGACCCATCCAGAGGGTGCCCAGTAGGTGCCTCTGCAGTAGGTAGCTGCTGGGAAGCCAGGTTGTTAGTAGACTGGGTGAGTGGGATGCATCTTCTGCAGTACTTAAAACCTAGGGTCTGTTGTTGGGATGTAGAACTGGGAGTAACTTTTCAGCCTCAGTACAGAAGTAGGTTATATTCTGAAGTTTTGTTTTCAAAATTGACCTGAAAGTAGTTGAACTAAACTAAAACAAATGGAAAAAATCTCTCTCTCTCTCCCCCCCTCTCTCTTTCTCTCTCTCTTTTCAAGACAGGATTTCTCTGTGTAGGCCTGGATGTCCATAGGTAGGGAGAAAGTTGACATAAGCAACTTAGGAAAACTGGTAGCATTTGTGTCTTCTAAAGAAAGTGTGTGTTCAATGTGGAGCTTAGACCCTCATTTTTTGAAAAGAAATGTCTGTATACATTCCCACCCCAAACCACCTACAGACAACTATTAGAAATCCCACATTCATGAAGCTCACAAACTGGAAGTATCCATTCTCCATCCCCTGGGAAGGGTACATTACTCTGCTATAGTCACACAATGGAGTATCATAGAGTAATGGAAATACAATCTCTACAGTTATAAAATAACACAGTGAAACCTGCAAGTGAATAATGGCAGGTGTGAGTTCTGCTGTGCAGTTCTATTAGAGTGCAGAGAGAGAATGCTGTCACACTCTGAAAGGATTAGCCTATGGGTTGCTTGGAGATAAAGAGTGGCTGGGTTCCTGGGTGATGCTCCTCTTGCTCTGTATACTAGTTAGATGGGTGTGTCTAGGAGTGAAAACAGTGGTTTGTATGGCATCTCTGTCTCTCCCTTCAACCCCCACCCCCACACAGGCTGAATATGCTAAATGTGAAATTCCAAATTCCAAATCAAAACATTTTGAGGGCTACCATGCCATAAAAGGAAAATTCAACTTCAGGCCTTGTGTAATGGAACACACTGAATGTACTGCACAAAATTACCTCCAGGCTATACAATGGAGATGAATCTTGTATGAATTTTGTAATTAGACTCTCTTCATACATTTCACTACGAATATGCAAATATTCCCCAGTCCAAGGAATCTGAAATGCTAAAAGCCTCTGTCTCCAAGCATTTCTGATAGTGGATACTTGTCCTCTATTTATTCTTCAATAAAAAATATGTAAATCAATACTTTTTCCAAACTTTAAAACTGATTATAGCACTCAAAGGGCAGGTCTTGAGAGCAAGAATCCTCATCACACTAGTGTGGATCTCTACCCAGGCCATCCTCCCTTCTAAAACTGCAGCACTGTCCAACACCCAATGTCCCTCAACCCAAACCCAGTGTTCCCAAACCAATACCCAGTGTCTCCAAATCAACACCCAGCATCCCCAAACCAAGCTATTTTTTCTAGTCCAGGAAGTCCTGGGTAAGGAGTGAGAAGGGCAGGAAAAGCACACGTAGAATAGGACCACGTGTCCAAACACAGTGACCACATGTCCATACACAGTGTCCACATGTCCATACACAGTGTCCACGTGTCCATACACAGTGACCTCAGAACCTTCCAAGTCATTTGCTTAGGAGGTTGATTACACACAACTGAGTGATTGATTCGTTGAATTGCAAGCAACTGAAACAAGGAGACGATTTTAAAAAAAATAGTAATGTTTGATATATTTGAGAAATAAAGCAGAATTATTGAAGGAGTCTAAGATGGACACAGGTAATTTAATGTAAGACTAACTACAAGTCTTGTCTCTAAGTCCAGTCTGCAGCCCACAAGTCACATGTGTAGTTGGTTGTTTTTTGACTCTTTGGGGGCCCACCACCCAGCTCCCAAATAAATTCACTGAGACTTATTCTTATTTAAGAATGCCTGGCCCAGCTTGGCTTGTTTCTAGCCAGTTTTGCTAACTTAAATTATCCTGTCTACCTTTTGCCTCTGGGCTTTCACCTTTCTCTATTTCTGTATTTCTTTTCTTTCCTTGTTATCCTGTGGCTGGCCCGTGGCATCCTCTTTTCCTCCTTTTCTCATTTCTCCCCTTCTCTTTCGAGCCTAGATTTCTCCACTCTTCTCCTAGACCCACCTATCCCTCTCCTGCCTTACTATTGGCTACTCAGCTCTTTATTAGACCAGCCAGTTTTTTTAGGCAGGCAAAGTAACACAGCTTCAAAGAGTTGAACAAATTCAACATTAAAAAAATGCAACACATCTTTGCATCATTAAACTAATATTCCACAGCATAAAAGAATGTAACACATCTTAAGTATTCCACAACACACATGTACCCCAGGACAGTTCCGAATGTGGCCCAATTTACTTAAAATATTGTGACTTTTTAATGTGTGTGTGTGTTTGTGTGTGTGTGTTTGTGTGTGTGTGTGTGTGTGTGTGTGTGTGTGTGTGTGTGTGTGTGTGTGTGTGTTTATACTCCATTGCTTAGTTCCTGAGTGTGAAATTTGTAGGTAACAATGTTGTCACAATATCAAAAGGTAGGAAGTCCTGAGCCCAAGCAGTTTTTAATGTATGATAAGCACCTTAGAGCTTCTGTGGCAGACAAGCATTTGTCTTCTGACTGGGGTCCCATGTCAGCATGACTTGGATGACGGGGCCCCCCTGACCTCCGGGCTTGGGTCTAATGGAGATATGTGTCTTTTAAAGTCATGTGCTCTCTGGTAAAGGGCAGCAGTAAGTACATGAAAAGTCTTCTTTTCAAGGTGGATGAATGAGGAGAATGCCTGTGCAAACATAATGAAGCCCTTACCTAGATCACAGCTATCAGCCATCGGTCATCATACTGGCCCAACTAAGGAACGGAGTCAGTCCTCACTGAGAGGCAGGAAAGTACTCCCACCTACTACAAAGCTTGGGTGGGGAGTGAGGAACCAGGCAGCTATGCTCTATCCTATCAGACTTAATGTGTTTGACCTATGGAGTGTTGACTCACAGCAAAAGGCTCCCTGCACTGGTTAGTGTCTCATAGTTGACTTTGAACTCCTGCGGGTTAGAGGAGTGTTAAAGGTATGCATCCCCATACCCAGCTTAGTTGGTCTTTTCTCTTCCGAGTCAGGGAGAAGTCAGAATGAATTTTCCCTGTAAGTTTCACCCAGTTGAATTTTTATAAATCTAATTAATAAGACTTATTTATTCATGAGAAGTAAGTTTTCAGAACTAAACTCATTTAAAAAACTCATATTGCATCTGGCATAAATACATATATTTGAGGAGCAGTAAGCATGGAAAATTCTTCACCCTCATACCCTTTTATTCTTTCAAGGAGTCCAGTGCATATGTGAAAATGATCCCTTTCCTTCTTGTTCTTTAGCCAACATGCTGCTGAAGATCATATTACCCATGACTCTCTGTGTCTTGCTCATCATCATTGCGTGCTACTGGAAAAGCCAGTGGTAAGTGAAGAGGGAGCTTTTAGAGACAAACCATGAAACAGAAATGATATGCAATAATATGGGGAAAGAACAATGAAAAGGTTCAAGAAATGTAGGTGAGCATATGTATGTAATGTGGTGGACAATTTTGCCTTCTGGATCAGTAAACTGGGAAAAGAACCACTTCAAACTTTGCTCCATGGCTGTAGTTATTTATGCCACCTTATGCTTGGCAGCAATCTCTTTGTATATGCTTTATATACAAAGAGCAAAGGAATGCCTGCAACAATACTGTATTCATGCATCCTACGATATGGAAATTAAAGCAAGGAAGTGTTATGTCCTTTGCTTCATAGAGGATCCTTCGGAGCTCTCACTCCTAACATTCCACTGAATTGTGCATTTGTTCTCAATTTCATTGTTCTGTTCTTCTAGGGTGAAGGAGAAGTGTTATCCTGACATTCCGAATCCATACAAGAGCAGCATCCTGTCACTGATAAAATCCAAGGTAAATGTGGGTATGTTGTATGTGTAACAGGTGAAGGACTAATCCAGGCACATTCCTGTAATCCTAACCTTTGGAGGGTAAAGGGTAAAGGGGATCTTCGTGAATTTGAGGCCAGTCTGGGCTATATACTTAGTTCTAAGCCTTCCATACTACACAGTGGGACTCTCTCAAAAACCCAGAGTGAGTAAATCCTTCCATGCTACACAATGGGACTCTCTCTCAAAAGCCCAAAGAGTGAGTGAATGAGTTTGGGGCTTCATTGAACAAGGTTTCTTATATCTCTTCAGGAAAAGATAATAAATTAAGAGGCACAAACACAGCCATCAGACGGGCAATTGGATGAACTAGCTCAGTGGCAGAGTGCTTGCTTGCCTAGCATGAGTAAAGCCCTGGTTTTGATCCCAACATAGACCAAACAAACATGATTGTGTCTTGCTCATTGTGGACTACCAGAAAAGTCAGTGGATAAGAAATCCTTTATCCAATGGGGAGTCAGACATGAACTCCTGCAATAGAAATGATCTCTTCTGCCCTGGCTTTTGTCACAACCTTCAAGTTAACATGTGGCAGGAAGGAATGGGAAGCACTCAGTGCACACTACATACATGATGCACTTGGATACTCCCATAGATACATTGATATTACTTGTTTGATTCCTTTGCAGAAGAATGCCCACTTAATAATGAATGTCAAAGACTGCATTCCAGATGTCCTTGAAGTTATAAACAAGGTAGAAGGCCCCAAGACACAGTGCATAGTCTCTGGGAACCCACACAATGAAGATGTATCCATGAAGCCTCCCTCCTCAGTGCCAACAGAAGATGGTTCCTCTGGCTCTGTGCCCTTCTTCTTCTTCGAGAATTTTACTTATGATCAGTCAGCTTTTGATTCTGGTTCCCATGGCCTCATTCCAGGACCCCTAAAAGACACCCCATGTCAGCTTGGACTATTGACCCCACCTGAGAAGTTACTAAATGTTCTAGAAAAAGACTACATGAAGTCCCTGGCAGAAAGCCCAACTGAAGAAACTAGCTTGATTTATGTGTCTCAGCTGGCTTCACCCATGGGTGGAGACAAGGACAGTCTTGCCACAAATCCACCCATGCCAGGGCACTGTTCAGAATACAAAATGCAAATGGCAGTGCCGGGGAGACTCCCATCACTTGCTCTGAGTGAGAATAACAGCCTGACCTCAGAGATACTTTTAGGTCAAGGTGAACAGTAAAGTTAACTACCACCAACCCAATTCATACACTACAGGCACTTTTGGGGATGTGACTGGTACCATGCCATCACCATGTGCCCTGGTTCTTGACTCCAGGAGCACCCATTATCTGCAGCACTAATTTATAAAAGATCATTAGGCTGACAGAATAAAGACCAGAGCTATACAACTTGGCATTTGCCCTAAAGGCTTCCTTAGAAATGGCACATGCTGACCTTGCTATTATCTGCTCCAGGCTCACCCTAACACAGGACCCCTAACCCTGACATAGGATATTCATCAGCGATTTCACAGACCCTATTTACTCAGGACTTCGCAAAGTGGCAGTGGTCCTAGGATTTTGGTTTGCAGTGAGAGAACATCTTCATGTAAACTTGACCTAATGTTTACTATTTTAAGGATAAAGCAGTTGGATTAAATGCTTTGATTAATGCCACAAGAGATTTATTACTCCTATTTTGTAGACTTATCACATTTAATGAAAGGTTACAAACTAGATTTTGGCCTTGCCTTGAAGTGAATTTGTAGTCATGGATAAAGTAAAGTAACTGTTGGTGCCTACACTGAACCTAACAGGTAGGACGTATGAATGGGACAGGAAGTCTTGACAGGTTTCCTGCCATCCAACTTACTGTGGTAAAACAGGATCAAAAAGAGCTCCAGACTTGGTGTGCTGGTGACAGCAGCCTGTTCAGTAGACTCCAGTCTTCCTCCTTAATTTTTGACTACCTCAGAATAGAAAAAAAGGACATTTCATTGAGTGATTCCTTTTACATTTAATGTCCCCACCCCAAAGCTGTATCTAAATGATCTATTTCCACACATTGTCTGGTTCAATAGAATTCTCATTTTCATTCCTGTCATGCTATATTGCCGCAATATTGGGTATAACTTAGCTTTAAAATGTTCTATGGAGTTAGAAGTTAGTTTAGTGTTGTCCCCAAAGCATGTCTTCTCAGACAATACACTTGGTCCTACCTGTGGCTTCTACATCAAGATCCAGCCAACTCTAGGAAGAAAACATTATTTTTAGATAAGGCTTGGACTCCCATGGAGCTTGGTAGCAGCCTAGCTCCTGTAAACAATCTCAGGAAGGTGCTATATGTAATAGCCGGACACATACATGTGTTCAATACATTAGTTTCTTCCTCTTGATGCTTGTCACATTGTAAAATAAGATAGAGACTTTTGTCTTGTTTACTGTGAATATGGTGGAAGAATGACTTTGTGCACATGCATGGCTGTTACCAATACTGCAGCAATATCCATGTGGCATGTGGCCTCAACATAGCTAACACCAACCATGAATGATCTGTTAAAGCTGTCCTGTCTTTTCTTGCCTATAACCAAGCCTTTTGATAGAGAAAATGGTTCTGAACTAACCTAGTACCAGACAGTATCCCGAACAGTCTAGTTTGGAGGTGACTTTGGTCAGTACTGCCAATACCGTGTCTGTTTTTCTGTCAATGTATTTCTAACTGGAAACTTGTACCCAGAAACGTTAATAACATTGATTTGTAAATGTTTTCTTTCATCTCAATTTTGTTTAAAAAATAATCCATAAAACATTAAAGTTATTTTTGCTGTTTTGATAATGCTCAAATTAAAGCATCCATTGTTTTCACAATCCCATTGTTTTAATTCCCTCAACAGAACAAAAACTTAAGTCAATAAATCTCCTCATAAACTTAACAAAAATGTAAACTTCTAGGTACCCCTTCAATCTAAAAAGGGTCTCTTCAGCACTGACTTGGAATCCACACATTTCATCCATTCCTGGATGAAGTCAAACACTTCCAGGCGCCTTTCTTCCCTCTCATGGTCCCCTTCCTGTGTTCCCGTTACAGTCCAACAGCAACAAACTAAATCTAGACATTGAAAGGAAAGTGATATTTTGCTAAGTCTGGCTTATTTTAGTACCATAATGACCTCCAGTTCCACCCATTTTCCTGCAAATGTCTTATACTCGTTAGAGCTGAATAAACCCCATTGTGAAAAAAAACCCATTTTCTTTATTCATCTACTTACTGATGGCTCCCTAGGCTGGTTCCTATCTTAGCTCTTGTGAACAGAGCAGCAGTGAACATGGATATGCAAATTCTGCGCTATGCTGATGTAAGAGCCCTTCAGGTGTACATGCAGAAGTGGTAGAACTCGGTCATATGGCAGATCTCCTTTTAATTTAAGGAACCACCACACTGACATCCATAGTGGTTGCTATTTACACTTCCACCAGTAGGGCAACAGTGTATCCTATTCCTCTTCCCCCACATCGCCACCAACATGTTTTCTTTCTCCATAGCAGGGATTCTTCTGGCTTGAGCTGGAATCTCAAAGCATTTTAATTTGCCTTTTCCTGATGGCTAAGGTTCAGATAATTCTTTTTTCTCTTCTAAAAGTGTCTACTCAGCTCATCAGCCCATTATTGACTTTTAGATGATTTAATTTTTGAGAATATATATATATATATATATATATATGTGTACTCCAGGAGAAAATTCTTAGATCTGAGAAACACATTCGGCAAGTTCCAGGATACAAAACCAACATAACCAACATCTAAAAATCCAGTAGCATTTCTATATTCCAATAATGAACTTGTAGAGAAAGAAATCAGAGAAAAGCCTCATCCATAACTTTTTTGTTTTTTATTATTTTATGTACATTGGTGTTTTGCCTACATGCATGTCTGTGTAAGGGTGTCAGGTTCCCTGAAACTGGAGTTGTGTGTCACTATGTGGGTGCTGGGAATTGAACTCAGGACCTTGGAAGACCAGTCAGTGCTCTTAACTGCTGAGCCATCTCTCCAGCCCCCATAACTAACTTTTAAAAACCCTTAAAGAGAAAGACCTGTCATTATCCTGAATTAGTAGAATGCTGTAAAAAATGGTTGTGTTACTCAATGTGATTACATGTCCAATGGAATTCTCATCAAAGTTCAAATGCATTCCTCATAGAACCAGATAAAATAATCCTAAAATTTATATGAAAGTAAAAAACACTGAATACCCAAAGCAATCTTAGCTGGAGACATCACAATATCTGACCATAAACTATTATACACTCCAGGCCACATAAACATAAGCATATGATATGGGCACAAAAAAAAGACACAGAGTATTGAGATAAAGTAGAGGACTTGGAAACCCACACAGCTACAGCTACCTAATATTTGACAAAGGTATAAAAAATACATGAAAAGACAGGCTCTGTTTCACATCCTTAAGATTGAAATTAGATCCCATCGCTTTCACTTTGTACAAAAATCAATCAGTGGATCAAAGACCCCAATGTAAGACCAGAAACTCTGAAACTGCTAGAACACATCAATAAAACATGTCAAGATAGAGGCATTGGCCAGCACTTTCTGAAAGGACTGACAGCAGAGGAGACAATTCCAAGAACTGATAGATGGGATTACATGAGCTAAATGTTCCTGCACTGCAATAGTATCCCTCCATAGAGAATGGGCTCCCAAAGTCTGTTTGTGCACTAGGGATAAACACTGTCTCTATTGTTAGAGGTCCCATAGACTACCCAGGCCTCCTAGCTGGCACCCACATTCAGAAGGCTTGGTTCAGTCCCAATGCTGGGTTCCCCAGCTTTAAGACTAGAGTCTCTGTGCTCTCACTAGGTCAGATTAACTGTTTCTGTGATGTGACAGACTTTGAAGATTCCCCCACGGAAGGTCTCACTATCCTTGGGGAGTAGGTGATGGGAGGGTTGGAGGAGGGCGAGGGAATGGGGGGATTGATATGTAAAATATATTTTTAAAAAGTCCCTATACAGCAATCAGCAGGCAGCATGCAGAGTGTGAGACAGGTTTCCTGGAGCCCATCGGCCATAGTCGAATCATGATCTAAGTTCATCAAGAGACCCTATCTGAGAAAAAAAGTGGGAGTGATTTAAATATTTGACCTTGGCCTCCATATGTAAAAAGATGTCCACGTATACTCTCTCTCTCTCTCTCTCTCTCTCTCTCTCTCTCTCTCTCTCTCTCTCTCTCTCTCTCTCTCTGTGTGTGTGTGTGTGTGTGAGAGAGAGATTGTCATGGTTAATCTCATTTTCAAAGTGTGCACTTATAAGAACACCAAGTTGAATTAGACTTAAGGTCGAGTCTATGAGCTGTTGGTTAAGCTTGCTTTGTCTCAAAGCTCTTAGAAGATATTGCATGGAGTGATTTCAGAACCCTTAAAGATAAAATGGAGATTGAAAGTCCTCAGAATTAGCAAACAAGACCATGAGTTATCTCCAATTAAAAGGACTAAATGTATGAAGTTGGCCTAGGGCTACTAAGAAAACCACATGTGGATGCTGGGAATTGAACCTAGGTCCTCTGAGAAGAGTCAGTGCTCTTAACCACTGAGCTATCTCTGTAGCCACTTGAATACTTTTATATGGTAAAGCTTTAAAAATAAAGACTATCGTTTTCTTATTCTACTGTAAATTAGGCATGTTTTTCATTTTACAATTCTGATTTACAGTATCAGATGAGACCAATGATACATACATACAGATGTCCATAGGCCTGGAACAAGTTTGCTTAAGGTGGGGAATATATTTCAGCAACTTTAACAGACAATGGCTTTTTTATTATTATTATTTAGAAACAATCATTTTACATATCAATCCTCCCATACCCACTACAAATCCCCCACCCCTTCCCCAAGGATGGTGAGGCCTTCCATTTGGGGGAGGGCCTAGGCCCTCCTCCCTGTATCTGGGCTGAAATAGTATCCCTCCATAGGGAATGGACTCCCAAAGTCCATTTGTGCACTACAGATAAATACTGGTTCAACTGTTAGAGGTCCCATAGCCTGCCCAGGCCTCCTAACTGGCACCCACATTCAGAGGGTTTGGTTCAGTCCAATGCTGGTTCCCCAGCTTTACGACTGGCAGACCGTGATTTTCACACTCAATTTCTCAGCTAGCCTCTCTGCTCAGGCCAGTGTGTGCTCACTCCATCTCCATGTCATTTTCTTACGACCTCAGAAAGTCCAAAGTCCTTCTAGCTAAAGCCATTTCTATTTCCAAATCATTCACAATAAGGAATAAAGATTAAAAAGTTTAGTATGTCAGATTAAATTCTGAAGAATGCCAAGGAAGTACAATTACTTAAAATTGGGAGCAGCCCCCTTTCACGGTACAAGATCATCCTCATTTGAAGGATCAAAAAGCCATGTGTCCTGGAAATTGCACTGTCAACATCAGTATCATGTGATTCAAGTCAAGGCCCAGTGACACACATTTTCAAATAAAGCAACAATGCCACAAGTTTAACAATTTTAAGTACATTTTATTAACAATGAATCCCTTTGATAAGATTGTTTCAGGAGGCTTTAATGCCCTTAACATAAACTGTACACATTATACAAAAACAATAAAACCACAACAACAACAAAATCAAGGTGAGCAAAACCATTTGGGAACAAATCTTATTTAAATTATACACAACTCAATGAAATATTCTTAAGGAAAATATATAAATACTTTTTCTTTCTATGTTACAGTTATACAATATAAATCAGATTTCAATGTCTGTTCAGTGACCTACAAACACCAGAACCTCCAAAAATGTAGCAGCGTATTACTAAATAAAAAAAAAAAAAGTCATGTGGTCAGAGAGCATTGAATCTGAGATTCTCTTTATGATCCCTTACCACTTTTCAAAGCTAATTTAATTTACATCATTTGTTTCACAATGCATTGTTAGGGTTTCTGACAGGCCAGTAATGGAACATTTTTCAACAATCATACATAAAAAATTTTTACTATTCCCTCTCTGCCCCAAGACTTTACATTTTGTGCTAGACCAACCTAGTTAAATGGGAAAATTGTAAGATGTTTCCTTTTTGGCATATTTTAATTTTAGGTATCTTGTAGAGTCAAATGTGCAATCCATGCTTCTGTGGCAGAGTTATCCACCTAACTATAAAAATACTCCAAAGGGGAGGAATCCCACATTCTGTGAGTCGTATAAATGTACTAGAAATGAAAACCCCATGGGGACCTGTAATTAAAAGAAAAAGGCTCCTGGAAAGCCCTGTGCAGACTGCTGTGTCCTTCATAAGTTCACTGGCATGCCTGAAGTGGGACTCGGTGTAGTGACACTCTCGAGGTTAATATGGGAACAACAGACTCTGCCAGTACGGAGGAAATGGAGCTCTTTGCCAACCCACACTTAGGTTCATTACAAGCAGCTTTTCTTAGAAGTCTCTCAAACAATTCTACTTTTCTTTCATGGATTGTGAATTTGAGACAAAATGGAAGTCAAAGTCTAAGGGGGGGGGGAAACCTTACTTCCAAAATACATTTCCCAAGTGGTCACAAATTCTTCTCACACAAAATTAGCACCTCACTCTTACCACACAAGAATAAGTGCAATTATAATTTGAATAACAGACAATTTTGTTTCTTATTGCTTAATGATCTGTGCTTTGATATGGGGCATAAAAGGCATCCTCTGAAAGGAATGAAAAATTTTTTTATATAAATAGCAGTAGACAAATCCAAATAAACAGTGACATCCCACTTTGAACACTCCACCATGGTGACATGGAATTCAAGCTTTAACCATCTCAAGCTCTGGACAAGAGGGGAATGCTGCTGAAAACATTGCTTCCAGTG